GATCTCAATGGTCCCAGTTTCAGAATAACAGTACCGTTATTGACAAATTGACTTCAAAATCCACCTCTGTGAAGTTTGCACCCACCTCCAACGCTGGTGACCGATTGATCCCAAAAATGTGTCAAATGTTTGTGCACACCCCGATGTGTGACCTAAAATCAAGAAATGATCTATATTTCACAAATGAATGTGAACACACACTTATTTTCTAAAGATGTTTTACTGCCACATTGGTCCCCAAAAAGCAGGAAGGATGTGGAAGGAGGTACTTTTGGGGTCATCCCTATATTCCCTAATTTCCGAGATGATTAGGATGAGAGTTGGGGCAAGGGGACCAAATCTCAAGCAAATTGAGGATAAAGAGAAAATTGGGCCTAAATTGGGAAAGAAAGGAAAACCTCAGAAACGAGGGAAGTTAGGGCTGAACTAGGACACAGCCTAAACTTTAGTTTAGCCCAAATAATGTAATCAGCTGTGCCTGACAACCAGCCGACGCATGTGTTTTTCACATCCAAACAGAGTTTCAGTATGAGGCAAAGCTTAGGGCCTTTTCTCATTTTTGAGGTTCATACATTGCTGCACTGAATGTCCCTGTCCCAGAGAAATACCCTCTTGATGAGAACACTAAAATTACCTCAGCAACCTGTGACATTTACATAGATGCAAAATCACTCTGATCATACTCAGTCCCTCGCTGTCTCCCAAGGAAACAGTGAACGGTCATCAAGAGCAGAGAGCTTAAGGAGTTAACCAAGTCTCTCCACCTGCTTCACGCTCAGGACAGAGTATAATGACTCATCATCGTGATTAGCGAGACCAACTCTTTAGAAACACATCTCTCAAGTAAGAAACTATAGAAATGATCCCTGAAAGTATAGTCTTAACATGAAATCACAACTGGGAAGGTACTCAACCATTGAGCATGGACATGTCTGATAGGGTAAGAATTCAAGTAGTTACTTGGATTACAACATCTTTACAACTAAAAGGGATCTCAATGGTCCCAGTTTCAGAATAACAGTACCGTTATTGACAAATTGACTTCAAAATCCACCTCTGTGAAGTTTGCACCCACCTCCAACGCTGGTGACCGATTGATCCCAAAAATGTGTCAAATGTTTGTGCACACCCCGATGTGTGACCTAAAATCAAGAAATGATCTATATTTCACAAATGAATGTGAACACACACTTATTTTCTAAAGATGTTTTACTGCCACATACTGTAGGTCCCCAAAAAGCAGGAAGGATGTGGAAGGAGGTACTTTTGGGGTCATCCCTATATTCCCTAATTTCCGAGATGATTAGGATGAGAGTTGGGGCAAGGGGACCAAATCTCATGCAAATTGATGATAAAGAGAAAATCCGGCCTAAATTGGGAAAGAAAGGAAAACCTCAGAAACGAGGGAAGTTAGGGCTGAACTCGGACACAGCCTAAACTTTAGTTTAGCCCAAATAATGTAATCAGCTGTGCCTGACAACCAGCCGACGCATGTGTTTTTCACATCCAAACAGAGTTTCAGTATGAGGCAAAGCTTCAGGCCTTTTCTCATTTTTGAGGTTCATACATTGCTGCACTGAATGTCCCTGTCCCAGAGATATACCCTCTTGATGAGAGCACTAAAATTACCTTAGCAACCTGTGACATTTACATGGATGCAAAATCACTCTGATCATACTCAGTCCCTCGCTGTCTCCCAAGGAAACAGTGAACGGTCATCAAGAGCAGAGAGCTTAAGGAGTTAACCAAGTCTCTCCACCTGCTTCACGCTCAGGACAGAGTATAATGACTCATCATCGTGATTAGCGAGACCAACTCTTTAGAAACACATCTCTCAAGTAAGAAACTATAGAAATGATCCCTGAAAGTATAGTCTTAACATGAAATCACAACTGGGAAGGTACTCAACCATTGAGCATGGACATGTCTGATAGGGTAAGAATTCAAGTAGTTACTTGGATTACAACATCTTTACAACTAAAAGGGATCTCAATGGTCCCAGTTTCAGAATAACAGTACCGTTATTGACAAATTGACTTCAAAATCCACCTCTGTGAAGTTTGCACCCACCTCCAACGCTGGTGACCGATTGAGCCCAAAAATGTGTCAAATGTTTGTCCACACCCCGATGTGTGCCTAAAATCAAGAAATGATCTATATTTCACAAATGAATGTGAACACACACTTATTTTCTAAAGATGTTTTACTGCCACATAGGTCCCCAAAAAGCAGGAAGGATGTGGAAGGAGGTACTTTTGGGGTCATCCCTATATTCCCTAATTTCCGAGATGATTAGGATGAGAGTTGGGGCAAGGGGACCAAATCTCAAGCAAATTGAGGATAAAGGGAAAATCGGGCCTAAATTGGGAAAGAAAGGAAAACCTCAGAAACGAGGGAAGTTAGGGCTGAACTCGGACACAGCCTAAACTTTAGTTTTGCCCAAATAATGTAATCAGCTGTGCCTGACAACCAGCCGACGCATGTGTTTTTCACATCCAAACAGAGTTTCAGTATGAGGCAAAGCTTAGGGCCTTTTCTCATTTTTGAGGTTCATACATTGCTGCACTGAATGTCCCTGTCCCAGAGAAATACCCTCTTGATGAGAACACTAAAATTACCTCAGCAACCTGTGACATTTACATAGATGCAAAATCACTCTGATCATACTCAGTCCCTCGCTGTCTCCCAAGGAAACAGTGAACGGTCATCAAGAGCAGAGAGCTTAAGGAGTTAACCAAGTCTCTCCACCTGCTTCACGCTCAGGACAGAGTATAATGACTCATCATCGTGATTAGCGAGACCAACTCTTTAGAAACACATCTCTCAAGTAAGAAACTATAGAAATGATCCCTGAAAGTATAGTCTTAACATGAAATCACAACTGGGAAGGTACTCAACCATTGAGCATGGACATGTCTGATAGGGTAAGAATTCAAGTAGTTACTTGGATTACAACATCTTTACAACTAAAAGGGATCTCAATGGTCCCAGTTTCAGAATAACAGTACCGTTATTGACAAATTGACTTCAAAATCCACCTCTGTGAAGTTTGCACCCACCTCCAACGCTGGTGACCGATTGATCCCAAAAATGTGTCAAATGTTTGTGCACACCCCGATGTGTGACCTAAAATCAAGAAATGATCTATATTTCACAAATGAATGTGAACACACACTTATTTTCTAAAGATGTTTTACTGCCACATAGGTCCCCAAAAAGCAGGAAGGATGTGGAAGGAGGTACTTTTGGGGTCATCCCTATATTCCCTAATTTCCGAGATGATTAGGATGAGAGTTGGGGCAAGGGGACCAAATCTCAAGCAAATTGAGGATAAAGGGAAAATCGGGCCTAAATTGGGAAAGAAAGGAAAACCTCAGAAACGAGGGAAGTTAGGGCTGAACTCGGACACAGCCTAAACTTTAGTTTAGCCCAAATAATGTAATCAGCTGTGCCTGACAACCAGCCGACGCATGTGTTTTTCACATCCAAACAGAGTTTCAGTATGAGGCAAAGCTTAGGGCCTTTTCTCATTTTTGAGGTTCATACATTGCTGCACTGAATGTCCCTGTCCCAGAGAAATACCCTCTTGATGAGAACACTAAAATTACCTCAGCAACCTGTGACATTTACATGGATGCAAAATCACTCTGATCATACTCAGTCCCTCGCTGTCTCCCAAGGAAACAGTGAACGGTCATCAAGAGCAGAGAGCTTAAGGAGTTAACCAAGTCTCTCCACCTGCTTCACGCTCAGGACAGAGTATAATGACTCATCATCGTGATTAGCGAGACCAACTCTTTAGAAACACATCTCTCAAGTAAGAAACTATAGAAATGATCCCTGAAAGTATAGTCTTAACATGAAATCACAACTGGGAAGGTACTCAACCATTGAGCATACTTTCCTCGGTTACGGTTCACATTCAAATTTTTACTTAGTGAAAACATAGAATGGGAATCTTACAACAAAGATAGACATCAATTTAAAGTTTATCACATGAGTTAACTTAGGTCGAACTAAACACAAACCAGTAGTTCACGGTGCTACTTACACATTGCCTACTTCATGCAAATCTACCGTCTTTTGATTGGCTGTTTCTAAACTCGCGAATCCCCCCCCTCCCCATGCTAACAACATAGAATCCTAAGAACGTTTTTCAACAACCTAATCCAGGCTTTACATCAACAATACTTGAGTTTGATTTTCTGTAGTTTCACTCAGTAATAGCGAAGCCTTTTAAACAAAATGATAAATAGAATATACATCAAACTATGAAAAACCAACACGGGCACCGAGTGTGCACCTCCCAAATCACATCGGGTGAAAAAAACAAACAACATTATGTTCCTTTTTCTGGAATTTTACCTGTGCTTTAATCATATTTCTTCCGCACATATCTGCAAACATAATTTATAATGACATAATTAGTCCTAATCCTTTTGTTATAAACGTCTAGGAATTTGTTAATAATAACGTTATTGCACTTTTTATTTCCATGACATCTTTAAGTGAGTCCCCAAAATGTAAATACGTTACTCAGCATCACTTTCACAGGAAATCAAGCTCACCCTTTTCGCTGTTAAATTTCAGTTTTTAGCAGAGTCAACTCTCAAATACGATTATAATTTAAGATATACAGAAGAGGACTGCTTTGTAGACATTCCATTTCTACAGTCGTTTGGAGACACATATTTACACCTGTGTCATTAATAATATAATTTAAATATTGTAACAGTATTTGCAAAGTACTATACAGAAACTGTCGCTTTACATCAGCGGAGTCTTGTGGCCAAATATAATATTGCAAGGCCGAGACATTTGTTTACGCTTTCGTCATAAGCCTGCGACGTAAACATGTGAAGCCCGTTTTAGATCCATGGAGAAGCCTGGTCTAGCTTTAGTTGACTAGTTCTTCCTTACGCTAGTTCTAATAGATTAACTCAGATAAAACAAAACTCCAACTCATATGGAGTTGGAGTTTTGTTTTATCTGAGGCAAAAATGGCTCGTTCGTCTTTGGAATCTGGTACACATGTTGTAAACGGGATTGCAGACGATTTGGACTTGCTTCATATTGAGATGGACATAGAATTGACAGAGAACAGAACCGAGCGAGATGCTGCTGTTTGTTCTGTAAGTTCACTTTATCTACATGATCAACGTAGTTCCTTCGGTGCATATGGAATTAGGTTTATTTAAGACCGCAACAATGGAGAAATCACTATCCAAACTTACACAGAATATTAGCTTTATAAATGATTAAATAATACACTGGTGTGTGTCCCATCAAAGATTAATGTTGTGAACAAATCAGAACACACTATTGTTTATTCTTGTAAGAAATAACCATGTTGTGCTTTAAAAGTCAAGTATGTTTTTAGTCCATCTAATATGAGCTTGCTGGTTCAATGGCACAATTAATGGCTGATTTTGTTTGTCTATTAACAGAGAAATGTCTTAAGGAAGCAGCGACACTGGGAGAGACAACTGGCTGCTAAAAGGAGCAAAAGAAAAGAGGAGAAGCAACGCAGAAAGCTTAACCGGGTGCAGCAATGTGGTAATAATCAACATAGATTTTCTCCTGATCCTCTTGTTTCGGACCATAAATCCTCTCTGCTCTGGTCCGGACCAGTGCAAAACCATAAACACTGTACTGCAGCAACATCTCAGCACATAAAAACAACTGTTTCAGAGCTGCTTAGGACTTGCTGCCGTTTCCAGCACATTCAAAAGTAAAATGCTTGATGCAAATGTTTTCTTGTTATTTGTTTAGATGGTGATAAGGACTCTCCTCAGTTCACCAAACGCGTGTTGAAAGCCATCACTAAAGATCGACTTGCAGAAGCTCAATCCACAGGCCCCAGACTGTGTGTGGACCTCAGTATGACGGACTGTATGTCTGACAAGGTACACTCCATGAACCACAATCAGTCTGTTTGTCCCAAAAGCAGGACACGTACAGGGTAATGATATATCTGCGGAAGGTACATAAGTATTTCAATTCATATCTGATGTATTTGACAATAACAAACTTGAAAATATGTTATGAAATCTTAATTTATGAATAGACCTAAATCATAACATCAGTTGTCTAGATGGACTATTCAAAGTTGTCAATTCGCCAACACGGATCAGAGAATCAAACGGTTCAAACACAGGACATGCAATAGTAACAAACACATAGGATTCATTGGTCCATAAATATAAATACATGTCTGTGATAGACAACAGGACAATAGGTGTAAAAATCATTTCTAATTTAATTCAGAAAAAAATAATTTGACAAAAAATGCTAAATGCTAAACTGAAATAAAATAATGTATACCAGTGTCTCTTTCCGCTGTGTGTCCTGGGACCAGTGGACTTTTCCGGGGTATAAAAATGGCCTCCAGTCTGGTCCTTTGGCTTCAGCCTTTAGAGTTTAGGCTGATGTGGAAACTGGTGATGGAACCAAACTATTTCAGAACCAGAAACTAGATTAATCTTTTATTTGTACAGCACTTTTCAAAAACAGTGTTTACAAAGAGCTGCACAGAATAAACTATAAAAACAGGCATAATTATACAAAGTCAAAATAACGAACCGTAGACACAGGAAAACAAAGACATAGTGGAATGGTAAAGTACAGACTTTAAATACTGCTTTAAAACTCGCAGTTAAAGGCCGTTCAGTAAAAGTGGCGTTTTAAGAAGTAATTTAAAAGAGAATATTAATGGATTTTTTACTTTTATGTGCTTTGAAAGTTACGGACCCCTGCTTTAAGAAATGATATAACATTTGAATACAATAAGCACTTTCAGATTTTCACAATCATGCTTAGTCATGTGTAGTATTGATTGTGTAAAACTGTTCAGGAGATCTGCAGACTGGCCGCACAGCTCAGGCGACTCTACGGCTCAAATAAAAAAGCATTGAGACCATTTCATCTGTTTCTGAGTGACTTTGAAGTCGACAGCCGCCTGTGCAGAGCGTGCGTGAGGATGAACCAAGGATTCCTCAACTACACGGTGAATACCAACTCTTCTGACTCTATATCTGTCTGAGCATTTCTAATAATGTGCTGTGATTTATCAACATTGAGGCTTTAGTCCAAGTTCAGTGAGTTACTTTCATTATTTTGTAAATTGTTTTTCAGATGGATTTTTCGAATGAAAGCTTTGTGGATTTATTCCCGTCAGAGACTATTGTTTACCTCACTCCAGATGCTGAACAAGGTACGTTTTAAATCTATGATAAAAACAACAAGTCTGCGTTCTTTTGAATGAATACCAGTCCCACCGTGTCTCAAAACATGCACCAGACACCAAAGGAAAAATCCTCCAGCTTCGGAAGTCCTGACCAAGTCCTGACCAAGTCCTGACCAAGTCCTGACCAAGTCCTGACCAAGCTGAGCAGCAGCAGTTGGTTCTGGGTTTGATCCCAGGCGCTGCAGTGTAGCAACAACTGCTCCTGAGATAGATGGATAGATTGAACTTTATTGGTCCTCGTTGGAGAAATTCAGGTGTCCAGCAGCAGAAGACTCTTTTTTTGTGTGTGCAGTCAGTCAGGTTTGTTGTACAGTCTGACAGCCGAGAGGTTGCTCTTATGGCACTGAAGGAAGGGTCAAAAGCAGAGGACACATTTCCCCATGATGATGAAATATGCTGCTGTTAAATTAAAACCACACAATCTAAAGCTAAATATTCCACATGCATGTTTGTTTTGCCTCTGTCACATCTTTAGATCAGCTTCAGACACAAAAGTGAAACAGAGAGGACCACCCTCACTCAGCCAATCAGCTCTGAGCCCAAAGCATCAGATTGTGGGCTCCTTCTTAAAGTATGTGAAAGATGAAGACAGTGTGTTGTGGTCTGGTTTGTTCAGGACTTTTTCAAGACTCTTTGTTTTGGGGAAAAACAAAAAAGACAAAGTTAGGTGCTCCAAGTTCAGTGACAACTAACGACATGGTCAGTATCATGGTGTCATTGTGAAAGTCGATTTATACTAATAAATACTATTACTATAACCACTATAATACTATACTATATGTTTATTCAGCGGAAGCAGCTCCTCGTCCGTCAAAGTGATTAAAAAAAGAACCTACATAAAACAAATGTTGCTGAATTTTGATGATTTTTCTTACCTTGTCCAGCCCTGGTCATTTGGACCCCTTTACACCATAGTTTAGGGTATTTTTCTTCTAATTCTAATCATTGTGACCTGAGTCTAGCAGAAAAAGTCCCTCTGCAAACCACATTGTCCCACATCAGGATGTGTCTTTTTGAATGTAATTTATTTAAAAGAACCACTGCTTTTGTACCAAGGATCTACATTTAACATCAGATGCACTATTTAAACATCTTAATTTAAAGCGTTTTCCGACTGATATCTTCTCTTTCTGCAGCGTTACAGTCGATGGACCCTGACAAAGTCTATGTTCTCGGTGGATTGGTGGACGAAAGTATTCAAAAGGTACACCACTTTAGGCAGTGTTTCCCACAAGGTTTTACTTTCACAAGGTTACAGGCGATCCATATTTGATTTTCTTTCACTTCATATTTTAGAATGTGTATCATAAGTATCTTAAGTAGAAAATATATGGTTGAACAATGCTTTTCACCTGTAATTCCCTCTACGACCACCAGAGGGAGGAGAGTATTACAGACAGGACACAGAAGGAGCAGAGTTGCATCTTTTTGGCTGTTCCTGATCTTAGCGTGGATGAATCTAAAAACATATCCAGGCTGTTTTTCATGAGGGAACAACATTTAAATCACAAAAAGTTGTTGTTGTATAATATGTTTCTGTTAATGTAATAGTAATGTTTGAACTGTATCATATTCATCAAAGAGAAGTGATTGAAACATGTAGTTTCTAACCGTACGACGGCGTGTATTCATGTAACTCCAAGACCCCCCGCGGTGCACACACGGTTATTCATCTGTGAAATGTAGATGGAAGTCCATTTTATGTTCACACAGAAGTTGAGCTTGGATCGAGCCAGTGAACTGAGCGTCGTCACAGCCAGACTTCCCATCGACGAATACATGACCAAAAAACACAACTCGAAAAGCTTTCACTCTAAAATACTGGCAATAAATCAAGGTGAGTAGAGGAAGCTCACAGTATAATGTTCACAGCTGTTGATTTTCAGAGTTATTAACTACTTTCACACTTTATTCTCTCCAGTCTTTGACATCTTGTTGACGTTCTGTGACACCGGCAGCTGGACAGAGGCCTTCAGGCTGTGGTTTCCTTTGGGGAAGGGCTACACCGTCCATGCAGGCACCACCACACCTCACAGTTCATGACAAATTAGAGTTTTGTTTTGGAAAAATAAGCCACATCTGGTTTTAAATGACCTTTTGTTCACTGTATGATCCAGTATCAATCTGAAACGGCTTAATACATATTTTAGGAATCAATCCAGACACTCTGAATTACACATAATTACTGTATATCAAAGATGTCCAAAAATATTGCTGTTATGCACTTAACTTGTTTTACAACTAACTCAGACTTTTTGCAAATCGAGTGTCGTGGTCATGTATGTTTTGAGTTGTGTCATTGAGTATTATTTGTGCGATACAAATAAACTTGCCGTCCGATTATTTTTACAATTTTAGTAATTGTTTGTTCCCACTGTGAGGATTGAAATACAGACTACTGTTGATTATTCATGTTTAATGTCATGTAATGTTTATTTATATAGCACATGTTACAGACCCAAAGCTCTTTCCAATGTTCAGAGCATAGACTGTATATAATAACGGACAGATTCACGCCTATCTCCGCCGTTCATAGGAGTTGGCCGTGAAAAGTGCTTTCATGGAGCAATCCAAAATGGCCGCGAGTGGTCCCGCCCACAAGAAAATGGTGAAAAAACGCATCTGCGCATGCGTCAGCTGCAGCTCCATTCATTTGAACGAGAGACTTCAAAAATTCACAGCGAGTAAACTAGAGTGGACCAAAACACTCCCTCAGTATTGACACACATGTGGAACGGAGCTTTGGGCCAAGAGCCAACTTTTGGTCCATCCTGTAAAGACGTTTTTGAGAGGTCAGCTAATGCTAATGTTAGCATTGGCTAATTCTACTTCTGGGTCCACCCCCACAGGCCCGGGGTGGTATTGCAGCATGTCAGGGTCCACCCCCACAGGCCCGGGGTGGTACTGCAGCATGTCAGGGTCCACCCCCACAGGCCCGGGGTGGTACTGCAGCATGTCAGGGTCCACCCCCACAGGCCCGGGGTGGTATTGCAGCATGTCAGGGTCCACCCCCACAGGCCCGGGGTGGTATTGCAGCATGTCAGGGTCCACCCCCACAGGCCCGGGGTGGTATTGCAGCATGTCAGGGCACGTCATTTTGGACACTTTTGAGCTGGGACCCGCCCACACTGATTCAGAGTCAGATATTGTTCCAATCCTTCCACACACGGTGATGACAGAAGCGAGTCCAGAACACACTGGACCATCAGCTCCAACACCATCATTCACTCTCTCATTTACATTCAGACCTATTGTGCATGTTTTTAGTGGTAGGGGAAACCGGAGCACCCGGAGGAAACCTACGCAGACACGGGGAGAACATGCAAACTCCACTCAAAATCGCCCTGTTCCGACCAGGATTCGAACCCAAGACCTTCTTGCCTAGAAGCGAGAGTGCTAACCACTCAGCCACCGTGCCGCCCATTAAACGTTACAAAAATACAAAGAATGTTTGTGCACAAAGAAGGATATTAAATTAATTAGCTTGATGGGCTTTAAATGCAGGAACATTGTTGCTAATGAGTTTTTGCTGGTTCTCGGCTAATTAAAGGATAAAGAGTTTCCTTGAACATGTTTTTGGGAGTTTGGAGGAAATATAGATATAGATACCATATAGTTTTGTGCTCTGTCGATAAGTCGTAATAATACCTGAATACTTGTAACTTAAACCTAGAATTATGGACAATACTTTGCTCTGTCGGGCCTGTGGGAGCGTGCACCCACTGCGCGGTACTTCCTCCAGAGTTCTGAGAGTTTCCCGGGTCAGTACCGCTTTCTCTGTCCTCCTGATTCTGCTTGGTCAGTTTCTTCGCATTGTGGGACTTTTCTTACTAGAAGCAAAATTGTGAAGTTCTTTGTCCATTTCTTTAGTCGTGAAAGGGTCTTCTTCAATTTTAAATGTAGTTATTTTGTTAATGCCCTCTTCCTGAACAGACTGAACGTGTTATGGTCCAATGCATAAAGCTTGATATTTGTCCCAACAGAAAGTCTCGTAAAAGTACAAATGTTGTAACGATGTCTTCATCTTTTGCATCCCTGTAGGAAAAGCAGAGAGCTGATTGGCTGAGTCAGGGTGGTTCTCTTTTTCACTATTCTCTTTATTTCTGTCTGAACAGAGGCTGAAATACACAGTGATAGAAGCAAACAAGTTTTTAACAATAGATTTAATGACACAGTTCAGTTTCTTGTGCTTTGGAAGTCACCCGAGGTTATTTAAGTTAATTACATGATTATAATAAATAAATACATATGGAAAAGCTCATCACCCTATGATGCAATATGTCTGTGTTTTATCCAAAACATACTGTGTCGATCCAAACTGTCTCTTTGTGAAACTGACTGCTCTCTGCTGTTTGCTGTAAAGATGGCGCCGTAAAGATGGCGCCGTGGCAGGAGCTCTGGTGTGTGCCGTCCTCTCTGGTGCACACTGGCATGGTCTTGGAAAGTTTTTCCAATGTGGTTTTACTGCAAATGGCAAATACATGAATCTGAAATTCATCATAATAAGAAAGTATATTATCAACATTTTTACCAAAAAGTACACTCTTCCGCTTTCTCTGATCTACAACCATAGACTCTACAACCCAACATAAATGTAAACTTTACAATGCTTCTCATAAAAAGGACGTGAACAATCGTTAGGAGTGTGTTTTGAGCGGCGCCTGCATCTGCTTCTCCATCACGAACTTCACCAGTTTTTTGACCCATGAAGACTGTGGGTCCAGACACACCTTCTCTCCCGTGGACAGGCCAGCGCTGCAGACAACAACACATGAATATCACAGCATTTTAGTGGAACCTTTAAAGACTGACACATCTTTGAAAAGTCACTGTCAAATTTAAAAAGATGAAAACTGTGAGTTCTTATTTGTCACTAAATTATCACACCATGGTTTGACTAATATACAGACTCGAATACAGAATAAAATACAATTACTGACAAACAAATATACTTACACCTTTCCCCCAGAGATACAGATAAATGTACATATTTATCTTTCTTTATGCAATATACTGTATTTATTGTTTATTTTATTAACCGTATTATATAGTGCCCTTAATAAAGATTATTATTAATAATAATAATAGATACTGTATCGATCCCTGTAAGAAATGCAGGTGTTCAGCAGCGCAGTAGGAACCTGTTTTGAGTCCTTTGCTTTTTATTTTGTACACTCACGATTGTGTGTCCTCCTCTGACTCAAACTTGATCATCAAATATGCTGATGACACCACCATCATCGGTCTCATCAGTGACACTGATGAATCCTCTTATAGAGCAGAGATACAAAATGTGGTTCAGTGGAGTCAAACTAACAACCTCCAGTTGAACGCATCCAAAACATGTGAACTGGTCACGACTTCAGTCGCAATAGTTCTCATTTGCCTGTCGTAATCGATAACTCCCAGGTGCAGATCGTAGAGGAGCAAGTTTCTGGGTTTAACTCTGTCTAACCTGAAATGGGTTAAAAACACTGACCGAGTCGTTAAGAAAGCACGTCAGCGTCTCTACTTTCTGCGTAAACTTAGAGAATTTACCACTAACTCTAAGATTGTGCTTAACTTTTATGGCTGCACCATTGAGAGTTTACTTGTTGGTTCTGTGTCTGTGTGGTTTGGAAACATCACAGATAAAGAAAAGAGAGCTTTAAACAAGGTGCTCCGCTCTGCAAAGAGGACCGTGGGCTGTGAGCTTCCTGTTCTGGAGGTTCTTTATAAATCCAGACTTTTAAACAAAGCTCTTAGGATTGTTAATGACTCTTCTGGCCACCCTGGGAAAGCCATGTTCCAGCTTCTTCCCTCTGGCAGAAGATATCGCTCTCTGAGATGCAGGACATCTCGTTACGCTAACAGTTTTTATCCACAGGCTGTTATCAGTGTGAACAGAGCACTTTAATGATTTGCACTTGTTTTGAAACTGTTTTAGTCGATCCATTTCACAGTGACACTTGTTTACTGTTTTATTTGTTTTATTTCTGTCTTTTAATGTTGTTTTATGTCTGTATTTGTCTGTGCACACTGGAGACTTTTGCTAATGTATTCCAATGTGGTTTTACTGCAAATGCCAAATAAACTGAATCTGAATCTGTTTCTTTGGTTACTCCCTGAGCGGACTATAGTGTCTAGAGCAGGCATGTCAAAGTCAAATACATCAGAGGGCCAAAAAAAACAAATTTGCTGCGAGCCGAGGGCCGGACTGGTTCAATGTTTATTAACTCATTGCCTGCCAGCCTATTTCAGAACAGGTACTCTCATATTGCCAGCAGTTTCTGATGATTTTTATTGATTTTTCAAGACCCACAGAATATTGTGTACTATGACTATCTGAAATCCGAAACCAGATTCTGAAAGAATAGACTGTCTACTTTCATCAGCAAAAATAATTTTGTTTCTAGCTTGTAATCCCCAGTCGAGTAGAGGGAAGTTTTACTGAAATCACCAAAAAGCTGAGAAAAAAGAGGCACAACAAGTGCATCTAGCTGTTTTTAAACCATTCAGAGAGCGCTGCTGCCACCTGCTGGCTCGATTCAATATGCTCTCAAGCTTATCCCCAAACATATTAGATATAATAGACATCTGGGAACACGAAAATAGCGGAAAACGCAATTGACGTAATACTGCGTCAATGGCAGGCAACGGGCCATGTAAAATTCATTTGCGGGCCGCATTTGGCCCGCGGGCCTTGACTTTGACACATGTGGTCTAGAGTTACCCAGCATGCCCTGCGGGAGAACCCTCATCCTTCTCTCCAGCACAAAGCCGGTGACTGTCTCGAGTTCAGACTCCGGCCCCAACACGAAAACCTCAAAGATCCTGACGTTTACATCATTTTCAGTGGTCAGAGAGTCAGGTGCCCCAGCTTTAATGTGGTTTAGTTTGGTCACTGCTGGACGGGTGCAGACGGGTGCAGACGGGTGCAGACGGGTGCAGACGGGTGCAGGTCACTCACATGACTTCGACCTGGGGGCAGTGTGGTCCTTCTGGCAGGATCTTGATGCTGCGCAGACTCTCTGGAGGGATGACCCTGGTCTCCAGCTGCAGACAGCGGCAGTGACTGTTGTACTCTCTGTGGATCGGAGGCATTCCTGTAACAACAGGACATCAGATTAAAGCTGGGGTACACAACTTTACAACAACCAAATATTTCACTACGTTATAGAGAGTTCCTGTCTCTATGTTTACATCAGCGTTTTCAGACACAAAGTGAAACAGAGAGGACCACCATCCCTCAGCCAATCAGCTCTCAGCACAAAGTGTCTGTTTTCTATCCAGATGAAGACAACATGTTGTGGTCACATGTTTGTTCACGATATTCTACTTTTACTGTTTGAACAAACAAAATGTATCATTATCATAAAATTAAATATGTACCCCAGACAATACATTGATATTGTCTCATTCAGCATTTTATCACTTTCATGTCTTTCTGCCATTTAGTAAAGGTTTTGAAATACCATGTATTTGGGATTCCCATAAAAGCAGCGGCTGAGTGTCACTTCTCTCATGTTTTTAGAAAAAGTGAACTTCACATAATCAGTTGTGAAGTTCGAAAGAAAGTTTTAAGGAATTGGCGTGTGCCAAAAGTTGTTGAGTCAGGAATTCTCACGGTCACAATCTGTTCTTGCTGCTTCTGTCCTTTCTCTTCCTGTACTGGCCTCGTTCCTTCCATTCACTTCCATTTAAAGTGTGTAAAAACAGAAGCAGGATTTGGACGAAGCAGACCCTTATTTGGTTCCAACCCCTCAGCACACAACACAACACACACAACACACACACACACATACACACATGCACACACAACACACACATGCACACGTACACATACACACACACACACACACACACGGCACAGGCCCAAACATCTCTAATATAATGCAGCGTTTTCAAGTCTGCTGCACGATGTTGAATGAAGTTGTTAAACCTGTTAAATATTTATGTAAAGATCATAAAAAAGCTTAGGTCATGACAACTGTTGCTAGGGAGCTCGGTCTGGCTTTTGGCTGAAATTAGGACTAAACATATCACAGCAGCTCCTCTGTGTTCGACCCTTACACGTACACACACGTCAGAGAGAAGCAGCAGAACATTGTCACTTGTGAATTGTGTGATACAATATTAACCCTGTTTGTATTTAGTGACAATAAAATAAAGAAAGGTTTATTACAAAAAAATATTAAGCTACAATCATTTCAATAATGATATAAATATCCTGAGGCAAGACGACAGACAGAAAGATGTTTTTCATAAATTGTGATGCAGCCTAGTTGTGCGTTTTTATACCTTACCATTCGCAAGGACGAAGAGGGTCCCAAGCATCACACCAGCGCACAGCTTCATTCTTCAGGAGGGATTTTCAACTAAAATGTAAAAGATATGTCTCAATACTAGTTCTTCTCCTGCTGCTGCTGTATGAGTGCTTACATTGGGTATTTATGTGTTCTTTGGGTCATGTGGTGCTTCTGTGGATGTGAAAAAGAAAGAAAAAGGCTGTGATTGTGGTGCTCTAGTTTCAGGTGGACATGTGCAGCAGCAGCAGCAGAGTCATGGGACAGAGGGCTGTGCAGAAGTGACTCATAAACAATAATACAGTTTATATTATTCATCATGTTCCATCAGCCCTGCGTCCGAGCCATTTCATTTATTCATCATTAGTTTTAATGCAGGGAACTTTCTCTGTTTCTCTCAAACCTCATGGTTTGAGTCAAACTTTTTTGGCCATAAATTATTGAAATGATCAAATTATGAGATTGAAATTCAACTTTACGTTCCCAGAGCCACAAACCAGGCCATAAACAAATGTAACAAAGTCCAGATCAAGATCCAACATAAAATCGTTGGAAAGAATTGAGAAACATGTAGTTCATAAATTCTTTCTAACCTTCTGGTTGTTTTGTAACTTTCTACTTGTACATGTGAAAGCAGAGACTCATCTCTCGACTTATTTTACTGCTAACTTTGCAGAAAGAGGAGCTTCCACCAAAAATATATTCATGATTATCTAGATACACAGGTGTCTGTTTCTTTGTTATTGTCTTTCAGAAATGGGATGATGATGGGATGTACAAGGAGCTTAGCCGTGTCGTGGTTGAGAGTGCCGTGTCTGGACAAAGAAGAGTGGTTTTGGTGGAACAGTTGATCAAAGACCTCGCAGCTCGTTCACTTGATGGACATAAGACTTTGGAATTGAGATTGAATGACATTGTTTGTCAGGCTTGATCTCTCTGACCCGGCTTGGATTTGCCCCTGTGTACGGAGGTCTGAGGGCACCGGAATTCGGTTTAATTGGAATTAATAGAATATCTGCCTGCTTTTGACTGCGACATTGCAGGCGATGTGTTTTTCTCCTCCTGTGGCTTCTCTCCACTCTTATCTCACATTCCTCAGCCAAGGCCATAAACAAGGTCCCACAATCTACAACAACTCACACTATTTCAGTCTTCAGCAAGGATCCCCCACCCCCGCCTCCCTCTACCTATCCATCTTGCTCCCTCCCTCCCCTCCATTCCTTATTGTTTTCCTACTCACCCCCTCCCTGATCCCGCCCCCCTCTGACAGCTACATTGGGCCGGCCGAAGAGGTGCTCTTCCCGAGAAAAAAATCCGTGGTTTATAAAAAGCACAATGTGTCTATCCAATTGTCTGTGAACTGTATGTTATTGCTCTCTGCTGTTTCTTGCTGCACACAGCGCCGCAAATGGCGAAGTGGCACGCTCTCTGCCAAAACAATTTCCAAGTGATAACTTTGTTACTCACGTGGCAATAAAAATGATTCTGATTCTGAATGATTCTGATTCTGAAATGATCTAAATAAAACATTTGTTGTCATAACATGACAGACTTAGAAAAGGCTCAAGAATGTATACTTTTGTAAACGTTTGTTTTGACTGAATATGTCAATGCCAAAGTCGTTAAATCTCTGAAATGTAAACCTCTCACAAACATCAAACCAGCCTCGGCCGTTTCACAGATTTGACTGAAAATCTCTCCACATGGTCTCAACACTTGTACCATCGATAGTTGTTCGTACTATTTTGATTAGTCACATGGTCATCCAATGGAGACTGTATATGAACACCTTTGACTAATCTTTAATCTATTTATATCCTTGTATTTTAGTTTGGTAGTTGTATATGGCTGCACATAAGTTATAACATCTCTCTCTTGATGAACAGTTTTTAGAATAAGCTGAGATACAATTTGGAAGGTTTGTGTGAAAAATCTCATCTTTAATAACTGTAATTTTAGCTTTGTGAAAGTCATAAGCTTTTAATGCACTTATTGCCCTCATGAATAAACCAGGAATTTGAGTTGTGTAAAATGTTATGTACTTTTTTTCTAAATTGTTGATCAAATGTATTTCCCTTTTTCACTTGACCCAGAACACAAGACTGTTCTGTTGGGGCTGTACGTCCTCGCACTGACGTGCCAACAAGGAAACCTTATGACTGCACTTTTCTATGGTCAATGAATAAATGGGTTCAAACGGGTCATGAAGCACCAGCCCCATGATTGTTCTGAATATGACTTATCAGATGGTTTAAGGTTTCAAAATATGACCACACAATATCAAGACCAAATGATTAAAGAAACAAACTGCATGTTGTAACTTTGTCTCATATTCACAGATCTGTAACTCACCGAACAGCTGCATCCTCAGTTAGAACTTTTCAAAATTGCAAAAATAGTGAGTTCACATATAATTATTGCATATAAATGTGAAACATCAAACAGTTTTTTTTCTGACATACATCATTTATTGGTTAAAAAGGTGAAGAGAAACTCATGAATCAAAGTCATTTTAGTTTTCACCTGCGTTACACACTGACTGCAAAAGAACTGTTTCACTACATTTATAAAACCACTGAAAAACCTTGGTCCATGAGAAACTTTGCCCACAGTAAACATGAAACTTTCTTTGGATTAAAGCTGGGGAACGTAACTTTTGAAAATCACAGATATTGTTTGACCCAACAGTGAAATGCATTTGAAGATCAGTGTCAGAACTTGAATTGTTTTGTTGTTTTCTTCACTGTTCTCCAAAAGCCTATCCAGGGACGGGGGCTGCTAATTGTCTGAAAGCCCTACGTACTTGACATCAGTTACCTGTGGGTGACAATGTTTTTGTACTGTCCCTGTAAAATAAAGAAATAGATACATAAATAAATATATATGTTGTTAGATAGGGTATTATTCCATATTTCTTGTGGTATAAAAATCAGGTGCCCCAGCTTTAAATGATTCTAAACACTATAAGGATGTCACTCTGTGCATGCGTGACATTAAGTTAGTCAAATGTCTGTGACAGATTTTATCTAGTCTTGTCCTGAAGTAAAGTAGAAGTACTGCGAGTGCTGCCAGAGGCGATGGTAGATTCTGGGGACGATGCAGTTGCTGCAGATGTTCTCTTAAGAACCATATTGGGCCTTTTCCTAAACAAAAAACACAGGATTGGATCACACCGCTGAATAGTGCATGTTGTAAAGTGATAATATCATATTAATCAACCGGCCGCAACCAAAAGACAGTTGTAGCAGTCAGTAGTGTCAGTGGAACAGTAAGAGTAGTACATGTTGTAGTGGAGCAAAGACTGGAAAACCACCTGCTTAAAGGGAACTTGACGTTTAACATCAGCCTCATCAGACTTGTATATACAGTAAGCAGTGCTTCAGCTCGTGCTGACACCCTCCTCCTCATTGTTGGGGTTCCCCATGTCATCAGCTCAGTTCATGAACCAAGCAGTAGCAGTAGCAGTAGCAGTAGCAGTAGTTGTAGTTGTAGTTGTAGTCGTAGTCGTAGAGCAGTAAAATAGTAGTGAGATTGTCATTCTACAGTTGCAGATTTGATACTTTTCATAAATGTTATACTTACTTTAAAGATTCGAGCAATTTGTGGACTTTCCCATTGTGCTCAACACACACCTCTTTAAATCCATTCCTGGTTTTGAGCTTCACTCTGTCGAGCAACACATCAAAAAGATCAAATCAATGAAGTGAATTACAGGAAATAAAACTTAAACACTTACAGGACTTCAGGTACATGACAGAACTGATTTCCTGCTTTAGTTATCATTGATACAACGAGTTTGATGTCCACTTCTGTATCTTTCTTTGTGCACCTGCAGCGAGGCACAGCTGCAAAAAACAAACACATGTTAGGATTCTAAAGGTTCAATTACTGTGACATACAGTTCATACTTACGCGTCGATGCACAAATGGCAGCTCCCGCTAAAAGAAAAACCAACTGGATCTTCATCTTGTTGGGTTGAGTCTTCTTGGGCTCGGGTTTATGAAGCAGTGAAAGAATCACAGAATAATCCGCTCCTCTGCAGCACTTCATCTTTTATAAAATATAACTTCTCTAAATGTGTTCTCGAAATTTCACTTCACTTAGAGTTCCAAGAAAAACTCAAATCGAGACATGCCTAGTTTCCTTTTTGGACAGACTAATAATAAGATCTGATTTAATCCAATGTATTCACAGAATCAAACAAGTTGCAAACAGGAAATATAAAAGATGTGTATGATCAAAAATGATTGAACGGTCTTAAAAATGTTGAATTAAATTATAATTTATTTATTATAATATAAAGATAACATTTGTAAAAGGAAACATGGATAAATCATCAGAGTGAGATGAACACACAGAGATAAACCTACGCAGACACGGGAAGAACATGCAAAGTCAGGAAAGCCCTGTTCCCACCGAGTGCTACCCACTCAGTCAGCCTGTAGGTGATGGGGCCTGGTGAGTCCTGGTGAGTCCTGGTGAGTCCTGGTGAGTCCTGGTGAGTCCTGGTGAGTCCTGGTGGGTCCTGGTGAGTCCTGGTGGGTCCTGGTGAGTCCTGGTGAGTCCTGGTCTGACTGGTCTACTGTAAGTGGGAGTGTGGGACTAGTACATTTCTTCTCACGTTTTCATTTTCAGTAAAAGTTTCACAAACAGTGAAAAGGACAAGACCATCTTTGGTCGTTCTTGCCCTGAGACTGTCGGGTTAAAGTTCAATCCAGGGTTTGGAAAAGATCAAATGTTTTCTAACGTCACAGAGAATGGACAGAGAACGTCTGAGAACGTCTGATGGACAGAGTCTGACGGATAGAGTCTGACGGATAGAGTCTGACGGACAGAGTCTGATGGACAGAGTCTGACGGACAGAGTCTGACGGACAGAGTCTGATTGAGTCTGACAGAGTCTGACGGACAGAGTCTGACGGACAGAGTCTGATTGAGTCTGACGGACAGAGTCTGACGGACAGAGTCTGATTGAGTCTGATTGAGTCTGATTGAGTCTGACAGAGTCTGACGGACAGAGTCTGACGGACAGAGTCTGACGGACAGAGTCTGACGGATAGAGTCTGACGGACAGAGTCTGATTGAGTCTGATGGACAGTGTGGAGGCACTTTGACGCTGGAGATGACGCGCGCTTAGTGTTACTTTAAATAAAGTAATAAAATAATGAACTGTGAAACTCTTGTGTCAAGTTGGAATGTCCATCCATTTAATATAAACTTGTAGAACAGAATAACAAAAAAAAAAATAACAAAACAAAATGACTGAACTTAAATCATTAACAGCAACACATGTAGCACGGTAAAAAAAACTGTATCCTCAGCACCACACCTGTACCGTGATTGTGGTTTCTTTTTAATACTGAAAGCAGAGAACCCTCCCAGAGCGCCCTGTATTTGCTCCACCATACCGGCCCCTAATTGTTTATGGCCAGACATCACAATTACATAAAAAGGAGCAAAATACAACAACTTGTACCTTATGCAAAAATACATTAGTCATTTTCCAACAACATGCACAACTTTGTCACTGGCCTCCTGAGAACATTTGTTTTTGTCTTTATTTCTACGGATCTAACAACTCCACATTTGTCTGGGAATACAGTTATAACCTTTCCTATAACCCACGAGTTACGGGGAGCAGAAGCATCTGCGATGAGCACAATGTCACCAACTTTTAAGTTCCTTTTCAACTGATTCCACTTTTGTCGTTCCTGCAAAGTAACTAGGTATTCCCTGGTCCATCTTTTCCAGAAGAGATCAGACATGTATTGCGCTTGTTTCCACCGCTTTCGAACATACAAGTCCTTTTGATCAAACAATCCAGGAGGAAGGGTAGGCTTCCGTTTAAGCGTGAGTAAATGATTTGGAGTTAATGGTTCGAGATCGTTGGGATCCTCGGAAACTCTTGTGATTGGTCGGTCATTGAGGATTGCTTCAGCCTCACAAAGGACGGTGTGCAGCGTTTCATCCGTTAAAGTTTGTTGGTGCAAAACTGAACACAAAACCTTCCGAATGAGTTTGATCATGCTCTCCCAAGCTCCCCCATGGTGTGAAGCTGATGGAGGATTGAAAGTCCACTTAATGTTTTCAAACAAAAACGTTTTTTCCATTTTGTCGTTATTCAAATCCTTTATAGTTTTCTTTAATTCCTTTTCCGCTGCCGTGAAATTTGTGCCATTGTCTGACCGAAAATGTGCAACAGGTCCTCTTCTACACATGAAACGTCGGATCGCACTGATGCAAGAGTCTGTGTCCAGTGACTGTGCCACCTCAATGTGGATGGCTCGGCTGATCATGCACGAAAAGATGACTCCATAACGTTTTACATATGAACGTCCTTGCTTAACTTCGATGGGTCCAAAATAATCCACTCCAACATTTGTGAATGGAGGCATGTCCGGAGTAATTCTTTCACTTGGAAGATCAGCCATTTTTTGATTACACAACTTTCCTTTGTACCGTTTACAGAAAACACAAGATAACACAACTTTCCTTGTTAATGCGTTTGCATGAGTGATCCAATATTTCTCTCTTAATTTTGCAAGAATTTGATTTCTTCCACCGTGTCAGGTGCATTCGTGAATATCTTTGATGATTAAGGTTGACACATGTTGATCTTTGGACAAAATGATCGGATGTTTGGTGTCAGCGGGCATAGCTGAATTTGAAAGCCGACCACCAACTTTAAGTAATCCGTCATCAAGAAAAGGATTGAGTTTATAAATGTGACTATTACCTTTAATGTTTCTTTGGCTTAACAAAGAGTTAATTTCATTGGAAAACCTCTGCTGTTGACAAAACTTCACTATAGCACTTTCAGATTGACACAAATCTTCCGTTGACAGGCGAGTGGTTTTGACTTTGTCTTTAACCTTTTGGAGTTCTTTATCAATATTTGACTGAGTATAGCTCATTGATAGGCTATCAATAGGCTTTTCGTACTTTGCAAAGTTCAAATAGTGTCCCTTTGATTTTCAAAATCCAAGCAACTGCAATTTTGAGCCTTTTCCAATCTGAGTAATAATGGAGAAATTGGTTGGTTGGATTATGTTCTGACGGACAGAGTCTGATGGACAGAGTCTGATGGACAGAGTCTGATGGACAGAGTCTGATAGAGTCTGACAGAGTCTGACAGAGTCTGACGGACAGAGTCTGACAGAGTCTGACGGACAGAGTCTGACGGACAGAGTCTGACGGACAGAGTCTGACGGACAGAGTCTGATAGAGTCTGACAGAGTCTGACAGAGTCTGACAGAGTCTGATAGAGTCTGATGGACGGAGTCTGACGGACAGAGAATGGACAGAGGAGGAACATGGTGTGATGTGAACAGCACGAGTCATAAAAGTAGTTCAACCTGGAGAGACTACAAGAGACGAGATGCGTTTAAGAGTTGTTTATTTTATGGATTGAGTTCGTTTATTGGTTTGGAGCTTAGGCCCCGGCTGTGGCCGTGCTCTGGAGAGATCTGCGCCTGGGTGCAGATCATGATCCCCCGGGGCCTAGACACTGGTGGTGGCAACAAGGCAAGGTGAATGTGAGAGTGAAGAAATCCTGAGGCGGAGGTGGTTGCAGCTTGAAGTCCGTTTGGTGAGCTGTGCTCTGCTTTGCTCTTAAACGCTGGCTTGATTGACACGGCTGCGGGGAGTTGATTAAGACAGGCTGAGTAAGGCGTGGTCAAGCCTGGCGTGATAACGTAGGTAGTCTACCATACTGAACCTCCGCTTAAGCTCCATAACTCTTCTTGGCCTTCAGAGAGAACGCAGCCGTACGCGCACATTAAATAAGTAAGTAAGGTTTATTTGTATAGCACATTTCACAGACCAGGGTCACAAAGCGCTTCACACATTAAAATTAAACATTCCGCAGACAAAGGTGGTATTCTTCATTGCCCCTTGGTCTTATAACAGCAAAGCTTTTCACAGCAAATAAAACATGAAAGTGTAAGTGACAAGCAGCGGCGGAAGTGTGTGTGATCTCAACACACTACTACAGAACAAATGTCCTATAAGTTAGGTACCCCCCAATCTTTGACTTTCTGAACTAATCATACAACGCTGCCATCTAGAGATCTCTGTGAAAACAACGAATGTTTTATTCTGTAGTGTAAACATGTCTCTGTGGCGCAATCGGTTAGCGCGTTCGGCTGTTAACCGAAAGGTTGGTGGTTCGAGCCCACCCAGGGACGAGACGGGTTTTCTCCGCATGTTTGATTATCAGGGCACTGCAGAAATATCAACACTGTACTGACTCTGCACAATCATGGAAGTAATTCTACTCGCTGAATATTCATTTGGCTATGTTTATGTTGATTTAATTGATGTAGTTGAAAGCATAACATAAAATATTTTCAGAATCAGAATCCTTTTATTGCCATGTGAGTAACAGGAAGTCACAAACAAGGAAATTGCTTTGGCTCTCGGTGCAAACAAGTTAAAGCAGAATAAAAACAGAGGCATAAATAAAAATCTACATACATTTCTTCAGTTTACTACATACAATTGCACTAGATGCACACAATAGACTGGTAAGAGTGCGGTAGAGTGACAGGAAGAGCCGTGGTCACCGTACGTGCCGCCATATTGATAATGGTATTTTTATTTGAACCATTAATTAATGTTGAACGTTTTTCTAATTAGATGAAGACCTTTGTGGTCTAATTTTAGAATTGTAGAACTCTTCTGCTCACAAAGCTGTGTACCCCGATAGACATTCATTACTGAGATAGAAGAAATCCAAGAAACTCTTGAGTAAATCAGATTTTGATTTTGTGTCAAGAGTGCCTTGACCACAATTACTCCCAGAACTCCCAGAGCCGTCATTATGACTGTTCTCATTCAAACCAAGATGTATTAAAACTAAGTAATTTATTAGGTTTTGTACCTAATAAAGTACAAGTAGGTGCTATTAGTGCTAAAACTGGTGCAGTGAGCGGGAAACCACTCCCCCCTCCCTCTCCAACAAACCACTCCCCCCTCCCCTCACTCTCCACCAAACCAAACATCCAGCATTTTCTTTCCTTTGTCACAGGGAGAGTGAAGCAAACGTGAAATTGGCATTTTCTGTTCAGCCATTTAAGGTTTTATAAAATCCAATTATTCAGGCACACACACTTAGGGTGAAGGGGGTAAACACATCTCCTTCCAGACGGACAGGAAGCAGCGAGTGCGTCTGGGGAAGAATGTCTCGGACTCTGGGATTATAAATACAGGAGCCCCACAGGGCTGTGTTCTTTCTCCCCTGCTCTTCTCCCTGTACACCAACCACTGCACCTCCAGCCACGACTCCGTGAAGCTGATCAAGTTCGCGGACGACACCACCCTCATTGGACTCATCTCCAACAACGATGAGTCCGCCTACAGGAGGGAGGTGGACCGGCTGGTGTCCTGGTGCAGTGGTAACAACCTGGAGCTGAACGCCCAGAAGACAGTGGAGATGATTGTGGACTTCAGGAAGAGCACTGTCCCCCCACCCCCACCCTCCGTGATGGACTCCCCCATCACCTCTGTGGAGTCCTTCCGTTTCCTGGGCACCACCATCACCAGGACCTCAAGTGGGAGCCGACCATCAGCTCCCTCATCAAGAAGGCCCAGCAGAGGATGTACTTCCTGCGGCAGCTCAGGAAAGCCAAGCTGCCTGCACAGATGTTGGTGCAGTTCTACACGGCCATCGTCGAGTCCATCCTCACCTCCTCCATCACCTCCTCATCACCTCCTCCATCACCTCCTCCATCACCTCCTCCGTCACCGTGTGGTTCGCTGGAGCCACAGTCAGGGACAAACAGAGACTACAGTGCATTGTGGTCTCTGCAGAGGAGGTGATCGGCCGCAGCCTTCCATCGCTGCAGGACCTGTACGTCGCCCGAGCTCGAGGCCGGGCTGGTCGTATCACAGCCGACCCCTCTCACCTGCACATGGACTATTCCAACCACTCCCCTCTCACCTGCACATGGACTATTCCAACCACTCCCCTCTCACCTGCACATGGACTATTCCAACCACTCCCCTCTCACCTGCACATGGACTATTCCAACCACTCCCCTCTCACCCTGCACATGGACTATTCCAACCACTCCCCTCTCACCCTGCACATGGACTATTCCAACCACTCCCCTCAGGCAGGAGGCTGCGGTCCATCAGGACTAGAACCTCCCGCCACAAGAACAGTTTCTTCCCCTCTGCTGTTGGACTCTTGAACACTTCTTAACCTGTCCCCCCGCCCTTTATAAAGTCACTTTACTGCCCATCATATGTCACTTTACTTCACTGTACTGCTGTCACCTTACATTGTGTGCACCATGTGCACTTGTATATTGTAAATGGTAACTGTAACTCTATTTTAAATTTAAATTTATTCTTTAGAAGTGTTTTTTATTCTTATTTTTGTTATCTCTTTTTGACTGTTGCACTGAGCCAAAGCAATTTCCAAGTCTGTGACCTCCTGTTACTTACGTGGCAATAAAAATGATTCTGATTCTGATTCATTGGTTCGTTGGAGATGAACGAATCCCATTGGTTCATTTTTATCAGTCCGCTCCAAAATATATTTTATTTATTTTTTGAGACGATTCCATTTCTATTTGACAACACATGATTACTTGATACTGTAGCGACCCTGCTTTTATGTTTATGTTAATGCTGTTATTTCATGTTATTTCACTGTTTAGTGCACTTACAGGATTGGTTCTGAGTATGGGGGGCGGGCCTAGGGACAGGGAAGATTGTTTTGATATAACCATGGATCTATTATAATAAGGATATAACGCTCTCTTTTACCCGGGACTGGAACGGGCTGCTGTTCTGTTGTGGAGCTATTGGCCTGGTTACGGCCGACAGTAACCATCTTGTAATAAAGCAACAAGTAGAACACTGTCTCATTCATTACCTTGAGCCAGGACGTTACAATACTTTCAGGGTTGAGGACGTTTTCCCACAATCTCTGCATCTGTAATATAATGAAGAAAATGACCGAATCAAAAGACATTTTATATTTATACACGGCCGCGTGGTCCCATCATACTTCACTGTACTGCTGTCACCTTACATTGTGTGCACCATGTTCACTTGTATATTGTAAATAGTAACTGTAACTCTATTTTAAATTTATATTTATTTCTTATAAGTGTTTTTATTCTTTATTTTTTTTTATCTCTCTCTGACTGTTGCACTGAGCCAAAGCAATTTCCAAGTCTGTGACTTCCTGTTACTTACGTGGCAATAAAAATGATTCTGATTCTGATATTTGGTAAAACACACAAAGTTTGACAGCGTGCATGTGATTTTATACCAGAAGCATCAAGACTCTCTGAGCATCTGCAACGCAACACAAAGTTATTTAGACCAAATATTTACAGATGATAAGTAATTACACATACGAAACCAAAAGCCGTCAAACTGACGGCTCTGGGAGCTCTAGTATCTGACTACAAGTACGATACTTCCATCTAGGGTTCACGTGTTGTGAGATGCACACCGCAGTCTCTGTGGCGCAATCGGTTAGCGCGTTCGGCTGTTAACCGAAAGGTTGGTGGTTCGAGCCCACCCAGGGACGAGTTTTTTTCTGGGGTCGTTGTAAGCGAAGTGCTTATCTAAAACAATATATAGATGTCACTGGCACTAAAAGATAGGATCTCGTACTTTCGAAACATTTTAGTTGTAATATTGAATAATATGCTTTAATTTACATTAAAATGTAGTAAACACAGACGTATGTTTTATATAACCTTCACTTAACATCTGTACTAAGCTTATATGCAGCCAAGAGAAGTAATACCTGATTGTATCTTATTTTGTAATCTATATATGATTGAATTTACCAATAGATTATTTAAATATTATAGACAATAAACTTCAGACTTGTAAGTTGGGCGTGTTTGTAACTGTAGAAGGCTGTCCCGTCCCAACAGGTAAACCACATGTTGATTCCTGAGCACAAACTCCAGGCACAAAGTGAAAGTAAACGACACTTCACTCGAAAGAATGGAGCAGAAACATCCGCTGTATTTTGTTGTTGAAACTGAAGAAGAACTTGAAGTGAAGGCAAAATCCAAAATCAAAAGATATTTTACGATCAGACGGGATTCCGGAGGTGGTGACTGCGGGGAGGTTGAGAAAGTCGGAGGAAGACTTTACAAAATATCTTTTGATCTGAAAGAAGGTGCGTTTTTGATAGGCATAATTTTGGAACTTTCATAGTTTTCTATTTAAGAATACATTGTTTTTAATAAAATGATTGGCAGATCAAGAAAGGGTTTTGGGAAGGAAAACTCACAAGATTACTCTGCCATCTGGAATTTTGCAACTTACAGTGTCGAGAACAGCGCCTGAGCCTGATACTACTGCACAAGTGAGTTCCATTATATATACTGTATATATAAAACACATATTACTTTGAGCGTCTGCATTTTTTTTTCCCATAATTTTGACCAATATTTATAATGGATCATTTCCAAAGCCACGCTAAACAACATCTCAAGGCACTCTCAAGAGACACATAGAGACTGATACTGTGATAACCTATGGACATTTTAAAAAGTAAAAACATGGGGTACACCAATAAAAAGATATATCAATAGTGTGATGAGCGCTTATGGCTTGAGCTTGAAATGGTCATTCCATACCATTGAAAATAGACAATGACATAATATCCGTCTCTATTGTTATGTCAGGGATGAAGCAGACAGAGACGGATCGTGGTGCGCCAAACTCTGGAAGTTTATTAAAGTTTCTCTCAAGTTCCAGTGGTTTCCATTGTTTCTTTCTCTCCGACAGAATGGAGTCAGTACAGTTTATATAGTCATCGTCACGTCACACATGGAAAGACGTGTCACACAGAGACAGTCACATCAGAGTCAAAATAATCAGAGTCCTTGTGGAGTCCTGCACGTAGGCCATATTGCTATCTAATACTAACAGTTATTGAGCCAATCTGAGACAAATTAATGCTTTGGCTGGGAGATGGGACACAGGGCTCCACTCAAAACTGGAACTATATTATAATATTTATGTTTTTTGAAGATAGTGTATATTTTAACTATTATGTTTATTGTTCATGTTGTAGTACTTCTTGGAGTTACGTTGCTAACAAACAAACAAACACTGGGGATTACTTTACCCCTTGGCTGTAAAGTTAGTTATGGGTAATTTCCAGACATGTTGAAACTCACTTAAGTCATTTACCGGCGAGCTCTGTGAAACTTCATTTCCCTGCAATGTGGATTATGTCGACTAACTCGTTTTGTCTTGTTTCTGCTTTCTCTTTCAGGTAACTTCAACAACAGCAGCAAAGCCTGATACCTCAAAGTGCCTAGAGAGAGCTTTCGAAATAGATTTTTTCCTTTTGTCTTATTTACAAGATTGTGGAAAAGCTTTAAGTATCTTGCAGAAGCAGTTTTCCTCCATTGGCTGTACAGCAGAGCTAAACTACGAGCTATCACTGGTTGTAGTAAAAGCAGATGAAAATAATGGCCTCAGTGGTGCATTCAGTGGCGTTCCGGAAAAGTGGCAAATTCAGGTCGACCGAGTTTGGAGCAGTTTTCAAGAAAGCTTCACCTGCTATCACGTGGTCAAACCTCAGATTGCTCAAAGTATTTTGCAAGATAAAAGCTTTGCAGATGATGATGTAAAAGTGTACACTGATTCAGGACATTCAGTTGTGGTCGGTGACGCGAAAGTTGTCAACAAAAAATTACAAATCATTGAACGAAATTTACAGACAAAGACAGAGATATCAATCAATGAAAATCAGTTTAACTTGATAGAAGAGGATTTTAGAAGAGATATGCAGAAACATTTGCTAAATGTTGAAATTGCTAGAAGTGGTAATAAAGTCGTCTTAGAAGGCCTTGAGAGTGAGGTGTGCCTAGGTTTGGCTGTGTATGAAAAAATTCTCAAAAGAATCCAACAGAAGAGTGTGCAATTCTCACCTGAGCTTCAATGTTTCTTCACAGCACAGCATTTGAAAAAATACAATACTCGATTTCTGCAGTGTCTAAAAAGTCCGGTGTCTTTAGAACGGCTTAATGTGGATTTAGTTTTGTCAAGTCTGTCCATTGAAGCCATAAATGAGGCCAATGCGATATTACAAAAGGATTTCACTGCAGATGTTGTGGAACTGAAGGACAGTGTTGCAGCTGATTCAGAATCAATTCAAGAGATTTTAACCAAAGGAATGGCTTCAATGAATGGCCAGGAACGTAGAATTTATGCTCGCTTTGTCTTTGAGCCAAGTAAGACAAGCAAAGTCCATATTTTTGGTTACAGAGACTCTGTGAGCCAATTCAAAAATCTGTTACAAGATTTCTTGAACCATGTACCTGTACAAGATATAATACACCTGAGCGATGCAGAAATGGCTCTAAACTTTGATAACATTTTGACTCTGATTGCTCCAATGAACAGTCGAGTGTCCGTCGAGGCGTCGGCCATTCCTCAGCCGCAAGTTTTGCTTTCAGGGCCTCAGCAATTAGTCTTAAAAACCAAATTGGAACTTACCAAAGAACTTTCCAGCTTGATTTCGGATACTTTAGAAATAGATGGGCCTGGAGCAAGGCAGTACTTCAAAGCAGAGGGGAAGGCGAGTAAAGAGGTGATAGAAAAGCTTCATAGAGTTTTCATTCGAGACATAGAGAATGTGGAGGAGCCAAAAGTTGTGAAGGATTCTGTGCCAGCAAAAAGTTTACCGGCAAAAAATCCACCAGCAATAAGTCCACCAGCACCAAGCCAACAAGCACCAAGCCAACCTGAAGCAGTTGTAAGAAGGAGAAGTTCTGTGGAAATAAACAACGTCAAAGTGGAGATCAAGATGGACAGTCTTCTTAATGATTACGTGAGCGAATTCACTCATTAGACCCTTTACTGTTGGTAAACAAGGCGCATACACACGCAACCAGTTTGCAGAAAGAGCTACACTATCGTCTATGACCAGTTATTTCCTTGTTTAGCTGCAGTTATTTAGCAATTACATTCACTAACGATGTCAGTTTATCACTGACTGATCGACAAAATGAACATTGGTGAATGGCATCGCTCTAGCTGACCCATATGTTTTACCGGTAGTTGTGTGGATAGTTAACTAGACCCAACTGGCCAAACTTCAGTGACCAAATATCCACTAAAAACCGACTAAGGCTTTTGTCCAAAACGGTTAGTTAAACAGCCAACAACACAGCAAAACATGCTTCCTGCAAACAGCATTTGAGCGCGGAGTGATGTAGGTTGATAATCTGTCTAAAATATCCATAGTTTCAAATGAACCTCCGTTTCTATAGAAATACTGCAAAAAAAAACGTTTGGACCAAAAGGTTCAATGGCGCAACAGTTAAGTTTAGCACCTGCTTGGCCCTAGTTCTGGCCAGGCCGAGTTTGTACTAAAGTGTTCTAGCTGCCAGTGATCAGAGCTACTGTACCTGAGCCGGGCGGCACGGTGGCTGAGTGGTTAGCACTCTCGCCTCTCAGCAAGAAGCTCCTGGGTTCGAATCCCGATTGGACCAGGGCCTTTCTGAGTGGACTTTGCATGTTCTCCCCGTGTCTGCGTAGGTTTCCTTCGGGTACTCCGGTTCCCCCTACCACTAAAAATATGTACAATAGGTCTGGCATGTGCCTCCTGTACTGGCCCCTCCCATCTCTGTGTGGAGTGAGAGACTAATGCCCAAAAATAACAATTGTAAATCGCTTTGTGACTCTAGTCTGTGAAAGGCGGTATATAAATAAAGATTAATTACTTACTTGAAGCCGTAGTTACAAATGGAGTTTTCCTGAATGTACAGGTGGACATGCTGATTGTCCCGATGCTGAAGAAGAGCTTACAGTCCACAAAGACTGGTAAAAGTTTGGCAAAAAAAGGAGGACTGCCGCTGAAGATGAAGTTCAGTAATGCATCGTGGAAGTCTGTGGCTCCTGGAGAAGTTGTGGAAGTGAAGGCTCCTGAGGCTCTGAACTGCTACAAACTCCTCTTCATCAAGTGTTGGCCCAGGGACGGATCGTCCAGACAGAGTCAGCAGGTACAGCTCAAGTCTGTGTACTGTAGTGGGGAGAATACTTACAATAATGAATCAATAATATATTCTGAATACTTGTAAAAAAGATCATGCTAATGCTAACTCATTAACACATCTATGATTCTGCTTGGACAAATGATCCTAATTCATTTGTATGTCACTGACTTTTTCCTGTGCAAATGAGTTAGGATCGTTAGACCTGGCAGGATCGTTAGACCTGCCCTTAGCCTCAGTAATCTTAGCAGATTAGAGTTAACCTCAGGATCAGGAGGTGTCTAACCACTCCCACAGGTTCTAATCTCCAACTCGCGGCTGACCTTACATTTCCTTGAGAAAGTTTTTCAGACAAAGAACGAAACGTCGGAAAACCTGCTAACTCAAGGTCAGATGATAGTTCTGTATAGTTTTATAATCGAGGCCCTGTCAGCAGGTCCTGAGGAATGGTCTCCAGCGCTGTCTGGAGCTGTGTGTGGAGCAGGGCCACAGCTCAGTGGCGCTCCCAGTGGTGGATCTGGGGACCGTGCTGGACTCGCTCACAGAGGCAGTTAAGCTGCTAATAGAGGAGCTGCGCAAGTTTGAAAGCACAGCGCCCTCTACTGTACTAAACATCCACATTGTCACTCAACCTGATGAAGGCACAACTGTGAAGGTGGGGAACTCTGTTCTGATTATCAGTGATACAAACTAAAGCACAAAGTGTGTGTTTCATTCATGTTTTTATCACAGCAAAAAAAAGAAAGGATTCCTTACCCCCTATTTACACCAAGCCGCCGCACAACATAATGTAGACATTAAGTCTACAACAGACCACTCTTTGATGGTAAAAAATATAAAATACATATTTGTGAAACAATATATCAAGATGCAGGGAAGGCCTTGCTGGCTCTGATGGCTCTGAAGGCTCTGATGGCTCTGAAGGCTCTGATGGCTCTGAAGGCTCTGATGGCTCTGATGGCTCTGAAGGCTCTGATGGCTCTGAAGGCTCTGATGGCTCTGAAGGCTCTGATGGCTCTGAAGGCTCTGATGGCTCTGATGGCTCTGAAGGCTCTGATGGCTCTGAAGGCTCTGATGGCTCTGAAGGCTCTGATGGCTCTGAAGGCTCTGATGGCTCTGATGGCTCTGAAGGCTCTGATGGCTCTGATGGCTCTGAAGGCTCTGAAGGCTCTGATGGCTCTGAAGGCTCTGAAGGCTCTGATGGCTCTGAAGGCTCTGATGGCTCTGAAGGCTCTGATGGCTCTGAAGGCTCTGATGGCTCTGATGGCTCTGAAGGCTCTGATGGCTCTGAAGGCTCTGATGGCTCTGATGGCTCTGAAGGCTCTGATGGCTCTGAAGGCTCTGATGGCTCTGATGGCTCTGAAGGCTCTGATGGCTCTGATGGCTCTGAAGGCTCTGATGGCTCTGAAGGCTCTGATGGCTCTGATGGCTCTGATGGCTCTGAAGGCTCTGATGGCTCTGAAGGCTCTGATGGCTCTGATGGCTCTGAAGGCTCTGATGGCTCTGATGGCTCTGAAGGCTCTGATGGCTCTGATGGCTCTGATGGCTCTGAAGGCTCTGATGGCTCTGATGGCCGACCACTGATCTAGACTACGCACTGAACACTGAAGACGCTTGGTGTAAATTGGGGATTACGTTGAGTGACCTTTGTTAATTGTACATGTTTTTTATTTTTTAAATTGTTTATTTACAACATAATTTACCTGGAAATTTACCTGGGCTGACACGATTAATTTATTAAATCAATCAAAGATAGTATTGTATATATTAATCAAACACTAAAATAATCAATAGCTGCAGCCTTATTGCCTCGACCTGTTTGATAAGAGTCTTACGACACCACTTTACCGTTTATCACGTATGAATCGTTCCAGCATCATAGAAGTTACAAAGTTGATCATTTTTCAGACTGAATTCCTGAAACAACTCGCCCAGAACCCGATCCAGGGAGAACAAGCTGCAGGTACACTTTCTTTCCACGGCTGTCTACTGACCCTTCGCTTCGTATATAAAATGTGCCAAGTGTGTGTTTTTAAAGAAATGTTCCAGTCGGACAGAAGTGACCACGAGATGTCGGTAACTCTGGAAAATGGGATAGAAGTGGACATCGTTTTTGGAGACATTACAAAGGAAACGGTGGATGCTGTGGTTAACTCCACCAACTTCAAGGACTTAAACAGTGAGACACGTTTATGATTTAGAATTAGACACATTTATACCGTGGTCCGTGAGGATTCATACTGCAGCACAGTTTGGATTATGAAGGTAAAGTGTAGGATGATGAATGGAGTTGATAAACCTGCTAAATATATATATTCTGACTTAAATTTCAAGTGTTAAAAGGAGGGAAACTGCGTCTGTCATTTTGGTCATGGCAACGGTTGCTAAGGAGTGTTTGCTGGCCCTTGGTTAAAAACTAGTCCCTTTCCTCAAACATGTTTTTGAAAGAGTTGAAGAGAAAATATTTATGTTTTTCTGACATGTTATGAGTGTGTGAGTATAGACCATGGTTTAAGCAAATTAAATCCGTACTTATAATAAAGACAGCGTTAGATATTGCTAATTGCTTATTGCCTTTTTCCTCTGCAGCTGGTGTGTGCAAAGCCATCTTGGCCTTAGCCGGACCAGAGGTGGAAGCCGAACTCCGATCAGGTAAATATATGAAAATATTCTCTATCATTGTAGCTTGATGATGACAGAAATACTTTCTTTTATCATGTATCATATATATGTTTCACATTTTAACTTGAATTACAGAATTAAATTATATTTCATCCGACTCAAAAATGTAACAATGAAAAAAACAGCGTTGAGTGGATCAAAAATAATATTCCACCTAAAATCACTCACACAAGTTGATTTTGAGTTGAAGTTCTTGTTGTTTGTGTGTCTTCAGCCTCAGTGGAGAAAGGAGAGGTGTTTGTGACGCAGCCCGGACGGTTCCCGTGTCTCGGTTTGTTGCACGTGTGTGGAAGAGGCGACGCAGCAGTGATCAAACAGTTAATGAGTTCCATCGTGCAGTACTGTGAGGCGTACGAGTGGGAGACGGTGGCTCTGCCGGCCGTCTGCGCTGGTGAGCAGATACTGTCACACATTAGGAAAAAACACTTCAAACTCCATTTTGATATTAGAAAATCCTCTCTAAAGCTGTGATTATTTATAAATGCTATACATTGAATTTTTTAAAACTCAAAATAATATTTTAATGAGCTATGGATCTTTGATGAGAGTATTCATACTATGATCACGATTCATGTTTCTGAAACACAATCCCAGAAACATCTTTCCCATTTTCTTCAGGGTCACTAGGTTTTATGCACGTTTTTTTCTGATGTAGTTTGAAAATCTATAAACATTTTCTCAAGAAATGTCCAATTTTGTCTTGTTTATACACGTTTATTAAGTATCTACGCAAATGAGCTTCTAGTTGCGATTCTAGTTTTAGTATGGATTAATATCCTATTTTGAAATAACAATTGTTGCAATATTTTAACCTTTCAACATGTCTTTAAAAACCCGGAAGTAGATTAGACTAGCCAAACTGTTGCTAGCCTAGCTGTTACTAGCCTAACTGTTACTAGCCTAACTGTTACTAGCCTAACTGTTACTAGCCTTACTGTTACTAGCCTAACTGTTACTAGCCTAACTGTTACTAGCCTAACTGTTACTAGCCTAACTGTTACTAGCCTAACTGTTACTAGCCTAACTGTTACTAGCCTAACTGTTACTAGCCTAACTGTTACTAGCCTAACTGTTGCTAGCCTAACTGTTACTAGCCTAACTGTTACTAGCCTAACTGTTACTAGCCTAACTGTTACTAACCTAACTGTTACTAGTCTAACTGTTACTAGCCTTACTGTTACTAGCCTTACTGTTACTAGCCTAACTGTTACTAGCCTAACTGTTACTAGCCTTACTGTTACTAGCCTAACTGTTACTAGCCTAACTGTTACTAGCCTAACTGTCACTAGCCTAACTGATACTAGTCTAACTGTTACTAGCCTAACTGTTACTAGCCTTACTGTTACTAGCCTAACTGTTATTAGCCTAACTGTTGCTAGCCTAACTGTTACTAGCCTAACTGTTACTAGCCTAACTGTTACTAGCCTAACTGTTACTAACCTAACTGTTACTAGCCTAACTGTTACTAGCCTAACTGTCACTAGTCTAACTGTTACTAGCCTTACTGATACTAGTCTAACTGTTACTAGCCTAACTGTTACTAGCCTAACTGTTACTAGCCTAACTGTTACTAGCCTTACTGTTACTAGCCTAACTGTTACTAGCCTAACTGTTACTAGCCTAACTGTTACTAGCCTAACTGTTACTAGCCTAACTGTTACTAGCCTAACTGTTACTAGCCTAACTGTTACTAGCCTAACTGTTACTAGCCTAACTGTTACTAGCCTAACTGTTACTAGCCTAACTGTTACTAGCCTAACTGTTACTAGCCTAACTGTTACTAGCCTTACTGTTACTAGCCTAACTGTTACTAGCCTAACTGTTACTAGCCTAACTGTTACTAGCCTAACTGTTACTAGCCTAACTGTTACTAGCCTAACTGTTACTAGCCTAGCTGTTACTAACCTAACTGTTACTAGCCTAACTGTCACTAGCCTAACTGTTACTAGCCTAACTGTTACTAGTCTAACTGTTACTAGCCTTACTGTTACTAGCCTTACTGTTACTAGCCTAACTGTTACTAGCCTAACTGTTACTAGCCTTACTGTTACTAGCCTAACTGTTACTAGCCTAACTGTTACTAGCCTAACTGTCACTAGCCTAACTGATACTAGTCTAACTGTTACTAGCCTAACTGTTACTAGCCTTAACTGTTACTAGCCTAACTGTTATTAGCCTAACTGTTGCTAGCCTAACTGTTACTAGCCTAACTGTTACTAGCCTAACTGTTACTAGCCTAACTGTTACTAACCTAACTGTTACTAGCCTAACTGTTACTAGCCTAACTGTCACTAGTCTAACTGTTACTAGCCTTACTGATACTAGTCTAACTGTTACTAGCCTAACTGTTACTAGCCTAACTGTTACTAGCCTAACTGTTACTAGCCTAACTGTTACTAGCCTAACTGTTACTAGCCTAACTGTTACTAGCCTAACTGTTACTAGCCTAACTGTTACTAACCTAACTGTTACTAGCCTTACTGTTACTAGCCTAACTGTTACTAGCCTAACTGTTACTAGCCTAACTGTTACTAGCCTAACTGTTACTAGCCTAACTGTTACTAGCCTAACTGTTACTAGCCTAACTGTTACTAGCCTAACTGTTACTAGCCTAACTGTTACTAGCCTAACTGTTACTAGCCTACTGTTACTAGCCTAACTGTTACTAGCCTTACTGTTACTAGCCTAACTGTCACTAGCCTAACTGTTACTAGCCTAACTGTTACTAGCCTAACTGTTACTAGCCTAACTGTTACTAGCCTAACTGTTACTAGCCTAACTGTTACTAGCCTAACTGTTACTAGCCTAACTGTTACTAGCCTAACTGTTACTAGCCTAACTGTTACTAGCCTAACTGTTACTAGCCTAACTGTTACTAGCCTAACTGTTACTAGCCTAGCTGTTACTAACCTAACTGTTACTAGCCTAACTGTTACTAGCCTAACTGTTACTAGCCTAACTGTTACTAGCCTAGCTGTTACTAGCCTAACTGTTACTAGCCTAACTGTTACTAGCCTAACTGTTACTAGCCTAACTGTCACTAGCCTAACTGATACTAGTCTAACTGTTACTAGCCTAACTGTTACTAGCCTTACTGTTACTAGCCTAACTGTTATTAGCCTAACTGTTGCTAGCCTAACTGTTACTAGTCTAACTGTTACTAGCCTAACTGTTACTAGCCTAACTGTTACTAGCCTAACTGTTACTAGCCTAACTGTTACTAGCCTAACTGTTACTAGCCTAACTGTTACTAGCCTAACTGTTACTAGCCTAACTGTTACTAGCCTAACTGTTACTAGCCTAACTGTTACTAGCCTAACTGTTACTAGCCTAACTGTTACTAGCCTAACTGTTACTAGCCTAACTGTTACTAGCCTAACTGTTACTAGCCTAACTGTTACTAGCCTAACTGTTACTAGCCTTACTGTTACTAGCCTAACTGTTACTAGCCTAACTGTTACTAGCCTAACTGTTACTAGCCTAACTGTTACTAGCCTAACTGTTACTAGCCTAACTGTTACTAGCCTAACTGTTACTAGCCTAACTGTTACTAGCCTAACTGTCACTAGCCTAACTGTTACTAGCCTAACTGTTACTAGTCTAACTGTTACTAGCCTTACTGTTACTAGCCTTACTGTTACTAGCCTAACTGTTACTAGCCTAACTGTTACTAGCCTTACTGTTACTAGCCTAACTGTTACTAGCCTAACTGTTACTAGCCTAACTGTCACTAGCCTAACTGTTACTAGTCTAACTGTTACTAGCCTAACTGTTACTAGCCTAACTGTTACTAGCCTAACTGTTACTAGCCTAACTGTTACTAGCCTAACTGTTACTAGCCTAACTGTTACTAGCCTAACTGTTACTAGCCTAACTGTTACTAACCTAACTGTTACTAGCCTAACTGTTACTAGCCTAACTGTCACTAGTCTAACTGTTACTAGCCTTACTGATACTAGTCTAACTGTTACTAGCCTAACTGTTACTAGCCTAACTGTTACTAGCCTAACTGTTACTAGCCTAACTGTTACTAGCCTAACTGTTACTACTAACCTAATGTTACTAGCCTAACTGTTACTAGCCTAACTGTCACTAGTCTAACTGTTACTAGCCTTACTGATACTAGTCTAACTGTTACTAGCCTAACTGTTACTAGCCTAACTGTTACTAGCCTAACTGTCACTAGCCTAACTGTTACTAGCCTAACTGTTACTAGCCTAACTGTTACTAGCCTTACTGTTACTAGCCTAACTGTTACTAGCCTAACTGTTACTAGCCTAACTGTTACTAGCCTAACTGTTACTAGCCTAACTGTTACTAGCCTAACTGTTACTAGCCTTACTGTTACTAGCCTAACTGTTACTAGCCTTACTGTTACTAGCCTAACTGTCACTAGCCTAACTGTTACTAGCCTAACTGTTACTAGCCTAACTGTTACTAGCCTAACTGTTACTAGCCTAACTGTTACTAGCCTAACTGTTACTAGCCTAACTGTTACTAGCCTAACTGTTACTAGCCTAACTGTTACTAGCCTAACTGTTACTAGCCTAACTGTTACTAGCCTAACTGTTACTAGCCTAACTGTTACTAGCCTAACTGTTACTAGCCTTACTGTTACTAGCCTAACTGTTACTAGCCTAACTGTTACTAGCCTAACTGTTACTAGCCTAACTGTTACTAGCCTAACTGTTACTAGCCTAACTGTTACTAGCCTAGCTGTTACTAACCTAACTGTTACTAGCCTAACTGTCACTAGCCTAACTGTTACTAGCCTAACTGTTACTAGCCTAACTGTTACTAGCCTAACTGTTGCTAGCCTAACTGTTGCTAGCCTAACTGTTACTAGCCTAACTGTTACTAGCCTAACTGTTACTAGCCTAACTGTTACTAGCCTAGCTGTTACTAGCCTAACTGTTACTAGCCTAACTGTTACTAGCCTAACTGTTACTAGCCTAACTGTTACTAGCCTAGCTGTTACTAGCCTAACTGTTACTAGCCTAACTGTTACTAGCCTAACTGTTACTAGCCTAACTGTTACTAGCCTAACTGTTACTAGCCTAACTGTTACTAGCCTAACTGTTACTAACCTAACTGTTACTAGCCTAACTGTTACTAGCCTAGCTGTTACTAACCTAACTGTTACTAGCCTTACTGTTACTAGCCTAACTGTTATTAGCCTAACTGTTACTAGCCTAACTGTTACTAGCCTAACTGTTACTAGCCTAACTGTTACTAGCCTAACTGTTACTAGCCTAACTGTTACTAGCCTAACTGTTATTAGCCTAACTGTTACTAGCCTAACTGTTACTAGCCTAACTGTTACTAGCCTAGCTGTTACTAGCCTAACTGTTACTAGCCTAACTGTCACTAGCCTAACTGTTACTAGCCTAA